GTGATTATTTATTTTATAACTTTTTATGAAAGATCTTTCTATTCGACACGGAAACTAAACGTCGAGTCACCGGGGTCTCGGGCCATATTTTTTGCATTAATTTATTGTAGTAATGTAGCTCCTCGTCTTACTTTGTAGTCGTTTCTCTTGATTTCTGTCAGGATTTATGATCACTGTCCCAACGCCACCGTGCAGATGTAGACGAGCGAGGTCAACAGGTCAACGCCGTCGTGCTTCAGAGAGCCTGTGTAGCTACGGTTTAATTTTTCACCGTCCAACATTAGAAAATCCTTGTGTTTTTATGTAGCTGGCCTGAAACTGTTGAATAAGAAGACAACGCCTGCGTGGGGAACAATAATCATTTATAGTGAACTTTTTCAGAGATAAAACGTTTGCTGAATACTTTCTCATCGTCGGCTCAGTGATAGCGTAGTCGAATACCCAACGTTAGGACTTTTTTACTCCAGAGTGTGATCTTTATCCTATTTGTCTACATCACGTTTTGTTTTGTTCACGACAACATGTATGAATGTGGCTCCCGTGCTCTGGGACCTTATGTTGTTTGTGGTGTGGTACGTCAACGCCACCTGTGTAGTCCAAATAAAGCCTAATCTGATAAACAGGTCAACTACAGGCTGTTTATGAATTCTTCTTCAGTGAGTCCTTTCTTAGGTGGCACATTATCAAAGATGGCAGTGAAAATAAATCCTAATGATACATTTGTTGTCGTATATCATTTATTTTACATCAAAGTGATCAACATTCCAAAAGTCTACACTAAAATCTGATCAGGACTCTCGTTTTACCCGTCATCTGACTGGATCTGCTGTTCAAAAACATTCTGTTCAATGCCTGCCTACGATCATCCCCTCAGGTCAGAACAGACCATAATGACCTGAAGGTGTCACAGTGCTGCGAACACATCGACCTGTCCAGTCAGACTCCGTCTGTCCACTCACAGAAGCACAGCTCTCCCACCCTGGCTGCATTCCATTAACTACAGCAGTTAACGGCTCCAGCTGGTGGTGTGAACGACTGATAAGACAAGACTTTCAATTCTGATTTTTTTACTCCAAATTTTTGTTAATTCTGTAAAGTATTTTATGTTACATTCTCTTCTGAGATCCAAACATTTCCCTTTAGTCATGTGACTAATATCCGTTCATGTAACCAACCATGTCCATTTACGGCAAAACAATTTCCCTATGTTTTTTTCATGTAATTCAGTAAATTGTTTTTTTTTTGCAAAATTAAAATACATTTAAATTAAAGGCAACACCACAGCATCAGCAATAAATCGGCAGTTTAGCAATCAGCAATTTTTTTTAAAACAATTTATTAATTAATGCAACTTACAGTCAAGCCAAAGAGTGAACTACATTAGGTGATACGTATTCACATTATGTTCTCTAACAGGGTTTACAGCATATTTTGTGTCCTGTAAGCATAACAGAAAAAAACAAAACAAAGGAAATGTAAAATAGAAATCAAAAGCGTACAACTTTACAAACATCAACATGGAGCTTAGCAGTGGATGTGAAGAAGAAAATAAAAATAAAATCATTCAGTAAATAGACCCTCACCAGAACAGGAATGACAGCAAATTCAGTTTTGGCATTTGTTTGTGGTGGGAGATAACAAAGAAAGAGCAAAAAAAAAAAAAAAAAAAAAAAAAAAAAAAAAAAAAAAAAAAACAAAAA